GTCAGCCATCTGTAACAGATCCAAACTAGGTGCAAAGCTCTTACTTCCTTCAAGAACTCCCCACAGACGGCGCCAAAATGATGGGTCTCTTCTCAGATCTGGAACGGTCCAGCGGGAAAACGCCCGGATCTGGGATGAACCGGTGTGAACAAGTTTAGATCTGACTTAATGACCTTCGAACCGTAGCTGAGCCGCAAGAACACCTGCAAGAACTCAACGCCGGAGGGGTTTCCGGCGTAGAGCCTCCGACGCTCAAGTCAGTATATAAAAATGATGGAGAGAGCTGCTCTCAGAAAGCAGCAGCAGTAATGAAAAAGATATGGAATGAATGGGAGTTAGGGTTTTGGGATTACCTCAGTCCTTTATATAGAAGTGTGATTTTTACCTGAAGTCCCCAAAATGCCCTGGCCGACTTGCTGGAAATGTCCAGAATACCCCGGTCGGTTCGTATTCCGCCTACTTCCTAGTCAGCATCTAGATCCTTCTTTAGTTTCCTTTTTATCCTTAACTCTTCCTCAATACACCGAAATGTATCAAGGCTATCGAGAACCACGAGCTACAAAACTCCTTCAGTCGACCTGGGATAGTGAGTCGAGTCGACCGGTCAACCGTTGGTGGACCCTGATACGTCTGACCGTCGTCCTGCTAGAGGTCGACTCATTCTAGTCGACAGGTGTGCATCGACTCAATTGAGAGCCGGGATTTTTGACTAAGTATCGTGATGTTATGAGGTCGACTGTGTCGAAGTCGGCTCGATAGATTCGAACCGTGATGATATGAACCGTTATACGACAGTATGGCCATATCAATTACCACAATAAAATCCAATTTTTAATATTATTACGAATCCATGCAATTTCGTATTCTTTTGGTAACAAATCCATATCCTTAGTTTTCTACAACATGTCTAAAAAAAGGAACTATTATATGGGTTTTGTTTGTAGAAATATCATTGGAATATGCATGATGAAGTTTCAAATATAATTACACACTAAATATTGAAAATCGGTTATGGAAATTTTATTATGATATTTATCACAAAAATAAAATAGAATATTATTTGTCAATTTATAACAAATCACTGTGATTTTCTTATTCATACGATAAAATATAAATATATTCATATTAAAATGTGTTCAGTACAAAATAATCTAAAATAATAGTTGGTATGTTTATGCTATGGAATTAAAATATTAATGCTAAAATATAAAAATATAAGTAAGCAATTACTTCTAGGATAGTTTATATACGGTATTAAAATGATAAACCAAAGGGTCGTTTTCCTAACTATATGTAAATTATTAGATTATGAAGAATTAAAATATTTATAATATTTATTGTTATAAACTATGATAACCAATGAGTCATTTTCCGAACTGACATGCAAATTAAAGTTTAGAAAACAAAATATAAATATTTATACTATATTTTGTTACAATTATAATGACATCTCAACGGATTATTTGTAGAACTATCCACGTATATATTAACTTATAAAAATATTTACAATGTATATTGTTATAAACTATAATGATAAACTAACAAGTGACCTATATGACAACGATGTAAAATTTTTAGATCAAAATATTTATAATGTATATGTTTACAAATTTATAATGATAAATCAATCTTTTCCTAACTGTCAAATAAATTAATAGATTAGAAAAAAAATCAAAAAAATACTTATAATAGACATTATTATAAATTATAAAAATAAAATAAAATAATATTGACTAAATAAAATTATTGAATTTTTTTACCACAAAATAATAAAAATTACAGTCTTTTTCAATCAATTGTTGGTTATAATATTTGTCACAATTTTTCGACTTCAGCATAACTTATTTAGGAATCGAAATATTGTAGTAACGTATGACTAGGGGAGGATAGAGAGAGAAATATTATGTGACTATTATTTATTGATAATATTTGAATATGTTATATTCTCATTATCTTTATTTTAATAAAGAACTGTGAAATTGCAGATATATTATAACGAGTGAAATACATATGTAAATCATATATTAATTATTCTACAGCGTAAAATAAAAGGAATCCCCCTTAGAGCACCCACAATGCTATGGGTCTCTTAGAAAAAAAATTACATGTCATGTAAGAAATAGACTTAGTCTATAAAAAAGTGTTCCCCAATGCAATTAAAATGGACTTAGTCTAGCTTATGTGGCAATAAAAAAAAAAAGAGACCTAGTCCACACTTGGGTCTATTTTAGACCCAAGTACAAACCCAAGCACTCATCATTTATTCCTTATTTATTTTTTCTTTTAATAAATGAAATATATTAGAGTATTTTTATTGGTTGTCATGTATGCTAGACCTAGTATTTGATTTTTGCATTGAATAGCTTTTGAGTTTTTTTACTTGGGTTTCTTCATGTCATTTAGGACTTAAGTCTATTTACATGCCACATATGTAAAATTAAACCCAAAGCATTGTGTGGGTGCTCTTATATATAATTACCGAATGCGCTGAGCCTACGTGGCTGCTTCTGGTGCTTCGTAATCCTACTTGGCGAAGAATCATGTTTCGTAATTAGGTTTGGATAAATAATATTAATATATTAATAATTAATAATCTAGGTTCGGACATTCCATAAATATTATTTAGCTAACTTAGGTATTTGAGCCTACGTGGCTGCTTCTGGTGCTTCGTAATCCTACTTGGCGAAGAATCATGCTTCGTAATTAGGTTTTGATAAATAATATTAATATATTAATAATTAATAATCTAGGTTCGGACATTCCATAAATATTATTTAGCTAACTTAGGTATTTTAATATCACTTGTACTAATATAACCCTTTAATTCTTTGTAATTTTACATAGTGAGACATTAAGTGACTAATATATCCCTGACTTTTGATTTGCTTCCTTCACTTAGCTATTGAATTGTAAATGTACTTTAAAAATTGATAACTTTTGTAGTTCTTATCGGTTTCATATATAAAATATATCAAATTAATCATCTTTTGATGATCTTCGATTTGACATCCATATTGTATATATGAAATAAATAAAATATATTTATCTTTATAATAATAAATAATAATAGTATTTATTAAAATTCATTAGAAAAATAAAACTATTTCTCAATTGATATATTTATGTTTAATGTAGTTATATGTTGTAAATTACAAAAAATTTTATGATATAACACAGGTAAGTCGCACAAATAAAAAAAGAGTCATATTAAATATATAATAATATATATAATTTTATAAAATGTATTTAAATTTTCAACTACTTTTTCTCATTATTTAGATTTTAAGAAAAAAAATAGCAAACACCTGTGTAATACATGAGCATTGTAATAATAATATTCACAACTATTTTTATACTAATCAATATCTCATCATTGTTTTTTTTTTTTTTTTTTTTNNNTTTTTTTTTTGGCGAATATTTAGTACATGTAATTTTTTAATGGTGACGCAAACATTTTTTTGTCCTTAAATAAATATCTCAAAATTGAAAAGAAGGCCACAAGAAGAAGCCCACTAGGCTTCTTAGAAACGAGTGAAACTGAACAAGTGATAATTATACCAAGAGAAGACTCCTATTACCAAATGAGCTTCAAATTTCTTCCATGGTTTTTTTGACTTATAATTGCTCTTTGAACATAAAACTACGATTTTACTATGAAGCCAATAGTTGGCTTCGTAGCAAAATCGTATAAAACTATACTAGTCACTACGAAGAACAAACACAGAAAAAAAAAAAAAAAAGCCCCTCTGTCGTTCATTATAAAGTCTCCTGCTGCTGGCAATAGATATCAGAGCCCATACACAGAGAAGAAGAAAGTTGTTTTCATGGCTTCAGATAACCCGATAAAATGTCCACCATTTGAATTTTCTGCAAAATATTATCATTACCATGGAGAAAGTGGCAGTTGTGTGAGGCAGAGCAGTTTTTTCGGAGGTAAATTATGTCGAAAATGTTTCGAATGCGTGTGTGTGTGTGTGTGTGTGTGTGTTTCTCCTTATAGTTGTGAAAGTATTGTAAGTTTGATTTATGTTCCATGAATATGTTTATTGATAGTGGACCTGGGCTGCTACAATCTTACAAAGTTCCAATGTAGCTTGGGAGTATGGAATTAGTGACCCTTTCTGGTATGCAAGTGGTGCTACAATACAGGCATGTCTTGATTTTATCATAACCCTAAATGAGTTTTTTGGTTTTTATATGGTCATTTACAAATTGGTGACATGATAAATACAAACAAGCAGGTTCTACTGTTTGGTGTAATGGCCATCATGATCAAACGAAAAGCTCCTCGCGCACACACTGTTTGTGAAATTGTCAAGGCGAGGTCCGTAAATTTGTTTTCAAATTCGCCTCATTTTATTCGGCATAACACTCAGTGTAATATATATATATATTTTTTTTTTAGATGGGGAACTGCAGCTCATATTGTGTTTCTAACATTTTGCTTCATGACTAACATTATTGTGACGGCCATGCTCCTTCTCGGAGGGTCAGCAGTCGTGAATGCCCTAACGGGCGTGAACATTTATGCTGCAAGTTTCTTAATACCTCTTGGTGTTATAGTGTACACATTAGCTGGAGGCCTAAAGGCCACCTTTTTGGCAAGCTACATTCATTCTGTAATAGGTATGTTATATGTATTTAACTGCTAATTCTTTGATTAAACCGATTTCTGTAACTAATCCTTACTTTTTTTTTTTTTTAATTGCAGTGCATGCGGTTTTGGTCATATTTGTGTACCTAGTGTATGTTTCGAGCAGTGAACTCGGTAGCCCAAGCACTGTATACAGACGCCTGCTCGAGGTTGCGAGCAAGGCACAAAACTGTGAAGATCCAATTTCACACGCCGGGCAATCTTGTGGGCCCGTCACAGGTAACCACAAAGGCTCTTATGCCACGGTGCTCAGTTCCGGAGGCCTTGTCTTTGGCATAATCAACATCGTCGGGAATTTTGGTACAGTTTTTGTTGACAACGTATGTGCCTGACCCATTATTAAGCATGAATGAACGGATTTTGTTTTATTTATTTTTTTGTTTAAACTTGATTTTAATGATTTAATGGATTCGGAAGAAAAATAACAGGGGTATTGGGTGAGTGCGATTGCTGCCAGGCCATCTTCAACTCATAAGGGCTATTTGTTGGGTGGATTAGTGTGGTTTGCTGTACCATTTTCTCTTGCAACTTCACTTGGGTTAGGAGCATTGGCACTTGATTTGCCGTTAACGGCAGCCGAGGCGAGTCACGGGCTCGTCCCGCCTGCTACAGCAATTGCCTTGATGGGTAAGGGAGGATCTATACTTCTGCTCACCATGCTTTTTATGTAAGTCTTCTGAGCTATTCTTTAGGATGCAAAGTTGAATCTTGCAAACTTGCACAATCATCAGTAGCAAAGTTTGCATTTTGCACATATTAAAAAATGTACGTTTTTACTTAATTGAATTCTTTAAAAAAAAACAATCATTAATTAGGGCCGTCACGTCCGCGGGCTCCTCCGAGCTAATCGCCGTCTCATCCCTATGCACGTACGATATGTACCGCACTTACATAAATCCCGGCGCAACCGGGAAACAAATCCTCAAAGTGTCGAGGGCCGTTGTCCTAACCTTCGGTTGTCTCATGGGAATCCTAGCCGTCATCCTAAACAAAGCCGGTGTGTCCCTCAGTTGGATGTACTTAGCAATGGGTGTCTTCATAGGCTCCGCCGTCATCCCAATAGCCTTCTTGCTCCTCTGGACAAAAGCAAATGCAAAAGGTGCCGTTTTCGGCACGATCATCGGTTGCTTGCTCGGGATCACAACTTGGCTCACGGTCACCAAAGTTGAATACGGGCGAGTGAATCTCGACACGACCGGGAGGAACGGGCCCATGTTGGCCGGAAACTTGGTTTCGATACTCAGTAGGTGGGTCGGTTCACGGCATATGTAGTTTGATGTGGCCGCAAGATTACGATTGGGGGACAACTAAGAAAATTACGATGGTCGAGAAGGATAATAAGAGCGATTTGTCGGCCGACGAGTTTAAGGAGGAGAAGTTGAGTAGAGCAAAGGGGTGGATTGTGAAATGGGGTGTTGGCTTTACTTTGGTCATTGTTGTGTTGTGGCCAATCCTTACTCTCCCTGCAGGTAAAAGTTAAAACCCATCACTCATAGTTACTATGTACAGTTTAATAATTTATAGGAAAATTAATAGTAAGAAAAAAGCTAATAATTTATAGTTTATAATAATTGTGAACTTTCTTTTGGGCTATATATGTTAGGGCAATTCAACGAGGGATACTTCACATTCTGGGCAGTGATTGCCATTGCATGGGGCACAATTGCTTCGGCCGTGATCATAGCTTTGCTGTTGATCGAAAGTCGGGAGACGATTCGAAACGTAATTCTTGGCATGTTCACGAACGACAGGTTAATGGAGAAAATGGAAGAGATTGATTTGAAGCTGCGAACGATCATCTCGTCAATGCCGGAAGTGGAAAGAACTTACTTGCTCGAGAAAGAGAAGATGAAGAAAAAAGAAACGTTGGAAACAGATCAAATTCATATCTTGCCGGCATAATGTTTTTATTGCCCCCTATCCCATTAATATTAATTCAAAACGTGTTGAGTTTAAGTGGCAGACTCGCACACCTTGGAATCATAAGTATCAAATTATTACGCTTCGTATTTAGGTTCGGATAAAAAAATTAGAAACATAATTGACTTGAAATCAACCATAAATAATTATTTCATCTTACATTATTGCATCCTATAAATATCTTTTTCATTACCATAAATTTATTGCTCCCATAAATTTGTGTATTAACTCTATCATATTATCCCCCCTATATATTAATACAGAACGCGCTGAGCCTACGTGACCGCTTTTGGTGCTTCGGAATCTTATGTGGCAAAATTACATGCTTCGTTATTAGGCTTGGGTAAATTTTAATTTAATTCCAAACCAAAAATAATTAGGTTCGGATTACCATAAATATGTTGATTATTTATGGTCATGTTACATGTATTAATTGTATTTTAATATCATTCCTTATTATAACTATTAAATTTTATATATATTTTAAAAGTTAATAGCTTTTGTATTTTTTATCAGTTTTATATATGTAATATATCAAATTAATCTTCTTTTGATGAGCTTCGATTTAACATCCATATTGTATGTATAAAAAAAATAATTTATATTTATCTTTATAACAATAATAAAATTATTGTTAATATTAATTAGAAAAATAAAATTATTTATCAACTAATATATTTATATTTCAATTGGTTATATGATATAAGTTATAAAAACTATTATAATATAACACATGTAAGTCATAAGTAACACAATCCATTCTAAAATATATAGTAATATATTTTTTTTTTAAAAGTAAACTAAATTATTATAGTTTTCTCATTAATTTTAAAATTTAAGAATAATTTTTCAACAAGCACCCGTGTAATACACGGTTGTTGTACTAGTTATGTTATAATTTCGTAAATTTGGTATTCTGTAGTTTTAAATGAGTTTTTTTAACTAATTCATACATGTATTACTTTTCCATATTTTATATCATTCTTTAATGGCATAAATTTAATTCTTAAAATAGATTACATATTTATATTGAATAAAGTATTTTAAAATGAGTTTTTAAATTACCTATTAATATTAATTAAAAAATATAATCATTTAAATTAACTTTACTACAAAGTTGTTATCTGATATGAAATTAGATAATATATGATGGTAATTCGTGTAAGTGACAATAACAATTTAAATATAAATAATAATATATTTTTCAAAAATGTATTTAGAAACTAAAACAATTTTTGTTATTATTATTTAATTTTAAATATAATTTTCTTAACAAGTACCTGTGTAGATTTCTTTAATATTAAAGTGCCATGTATCTTCGAATGCATCTTCAGATTCATCAAAATCTATCATTCCATGATTGATAATGTGCAGGCTCGTACGTTTCGTAATCTTATTTGACACAATTATATGCTTTGGAACGACACATAATCAGGCTCGGTTGCCAACCAGGCATTTTAGTTACAATAATATATTAAATAAGATATTATTATTATTATTATTATTATTATTATTATTATTATTATTATTATTATTATTATTATTATTATTATTATTATTATTATTTCTTTTGTTACCAATCAATCTTATATTAATGTCTTTCATTTTTATTTATTCTTATTTATAGTATTTT